ATCTCAACAGTAGGCCCACACTAGGTGATCATTATTTACCCCAGAAACAGAGTGATCGTGAATTACCCCGGGTCACCCTATATATATTTAAAAAAATCAATTGATTTAAATCAATGATTTTTTTAAAAAATTCATTTGATTTAAATCAATGATTTTTTTAAAAAACTCATTTGATTTAAATCATGAGTCAAATCAAGTTGATTTAAATTAACGAACCCTGTGATAGAGTATTAAAAATATCCTCCAAGATCTCATCTGTTCATGATTATCTTTCTTTCTCATTTGTTTGCTTTTTTTCCTCTCATTTTAGCTTTTATCTTACCTTTTTTATTTCATTAACTTGATTGAAATATGACTCTTGTTTTACAACTAACAATGCCTTGAATAGTGATTTTGAAATAAGTCATTTTTAACATATAATTTCAGTAAAAAAAAAATTTTAATATTCATTTTTCTGTAGTATGGTGAGAAAGTGAAAAAAATTCCCATTTTAGTTTACACCATAGCAATTAAGTTTTTCTAAGTAGTTCATAATTTGCAATCTTAAGCTGCGCAGCATTGTAAAAATAATTGTATCAATTGACTATTAAAGTGCAAAGGTGAATAATTTCTTTATTGCCTATATCCTATTATCTATTACAGATAGATGAATGTAAACAAAGCAAAAGGAGGACAAATAAAAAGACATACTATAATTTCAGTTCTATGGTTAGGAACCGGTTTCAGTATCAAAATAGAGTGTGTGAAAAGAAGAAAACTACAAATCTAAAAAAAAGGATTAAAAATTATTGATGAATAGGATAGGCTGAACAAGTTTAAGCAAGGTTATCAAATATAGATATAATTACATGTGGTGATGAATATGGGAGAACACCAGATGTTGCAACATTAAATGAAACATTATTTCTAAACATTTGGTAAGAAAGGGATATAGAAATGTCATTAACTAAATTATTCAAATTTTTCAATACAAAATAATTCCTAGTAATGCATTGTTTAATTTTTTTAGCAAAGGAAAATTCAAATCTACGATTAGAAATTATGTTGTGCAACAGAAGATTGTTTAAAATTTTGATATGGATCAGAAAAACAAGGAATTATCCAATCAGTTAAAAATTATGTGTTTTTATTTAAACATGTTGAGATAGAGAATGGTTTTGTCTTTTATTTTAAAATCTTTAATAAAAGAAACTAATTTTGCAACAATTTTTTTTATTGTTATAAATAACTGAAATATAAATGGATTCATTTTCTTATGCTTTTAAGATTACTAAACTTACTTCATTATGTTATGAGAAAAACAATTGTTATAAAAAATTTCAAATAAATGCCAGTAATAAAATTTTATTAATTTTTAGAGCTTAGAAACTTTAGATAACGGAAAGCCTTTCTTCGATTCGTATCATGTAGACCTGGATCTTGTGTTAAAAGTTTTCAGGTAACTTTGTTTTGTATATTTAATTCCAATAGAGGGTATTATAAAATGCTTTAAAATTTTAGTTTAATCAATCAATTTTAGTTTAAAAAGTTAACTCAAATTTTCTGTTTATTTTGACTCCTTTGCTCTTACATTGATTGGGCTAATTAATTCGAAATGTATTTTTCCAATAAGTAATAACATTGGGGGAGAGAATTGTTTTCTGGGCTTGAAAGCAGTCAGATTCTATTCCGAACTGAATTTGGGGTTGGCAAATAAAGATAGATTATATTTCTTATTTACTTCTTTAATAATAAAAAAGCATTTTAATGTTTTGATTTATTATTTAGGCTTTTTAGTTATTTTTATCATGAAACCTTAATAAAAAATCTCTGTTTGTGAAAGTACTTTTAAGGCTCATAAAAAGTGCCTTTTTAATTTTTCCTTTTTCTTTAAATTACTTATTATGTTCCATTTTTGTAGAAGTGTAGTGGCAAATTTGTCTATGGGAAAAAACTAAAGTTTCATTTTTTTTTTATTTNTTTTATGTTTTTATTAATTTTTTGATAAAAACGTGTTTTGGAAATGATTTAAAATTCTCTGAATTAAAATCTCTAAAGTAAAGTTTTTCGGATTTTAATTCATAGCATAATATAATACTGAATTAAAAAAAATAAACCGTTGACAAAGTTTATTAAGTAACTCTTTTGAATTTAGCCCATTATGTGATAGAAAAAGGGGATTAAGGATTTGGATCCTCTGCAGCCCTTTAACGATACAGTTACAGCAAAAATGATACTGCATACAGAACTTTTACTTTTTAACTAACTTTTAAAGAATAAAAGAAATTTAAGTTCTTTTAAAATTTACAGAAATAAAAACATTTTATAACAAATAAATTTGCAAAATTGATGAAAAACTGGAATTTTATCAACAACAAAAAAAAACGTGGTTTTATGTTTTTTAAGCCTTCCCCTACACTTCTGCATTTTTGATTCTTAATTTTTTTTAATACTTTCAAGCTTTTAAAAAGTTATTATTCATGGTGCCCTATTAAAAGAATTAATATCTGCTTTTTAAAAAATGTCAATAACATCATTGTTAAATTTTTTGATTAAGATCTCATTGCCTGTCTCTTCTTTTGTGATAATGTCATCTTATGAGATGATCTTGTCAATGAGTTTAAATACTGTAGAAAATACTAAACTATGTTTAATACAAAATGAACAGTCTGCTAGACATTTCTTTCTTTAGATATTTATTTGAAAATTTGATCACTGTCAATGCCAATCTGCTGATGTTGCTCGTAGGCGTAACTATCAACTAAACAATCCATTTGCTTACACAGTAAGGTGTACCATAACTTTGCATTAGTCTTCTTATTGGTTGTGATGTTTTGGAGGCCATGCACTGTTTCTATCCTAGATCAAAATTATGTGACATTTGTTCCATGGCTATTAAAAAATAAAGCCCAGAAAAAAAGGACATGGTTGGATATTGTGTGTTTACTTTATGAATCTTCCTTTACACCTTGTGGTCAGGTGGTTTGTCACCAGATGGCAGACTTGTCAATTGAAATGTCATCAAATATTATTTGCATGTCTTTTAATTTAGGGGTAACACTTGTTATAGTTTATTTTTATATGATTTATGTTGGCCTCAATTTTATGTTAATTAGACTGGAGTTTAAGTGTACCTCAATGAATTTATTCCATTATCAATTATATAAATTTACCTGTCACTCATACGTCAACTCATTTTGCTCATGTTTTGCTCTAGATATTTTTTTCCTTCATGTTTGACTTATAGGGTGATTAATGTCTTATCAAGTATTATTTCTTATTTGAGTGCAGTTCTCTCTGCTGACAGAGTGCATTCTTTACTGTAGATTTCTTATTCATTGAAAGAGTGGTGAACCAAATCATCACATCTCTCCAGATGTTTTCCATTTAATACAGGCCTAATCTTTATGTCCAAATTAGTCTATGCCATTCTTATCTTACCTCTCAAGTGATTCATGTCTACCAGAATCTTTATTCATCAGTAATAATAAATTAATACAGTAGCGAACCATTTATCCGGTATCCAGATAACCGGGAAACCAGAAAACCGGGTGGGAAATTGGATCGGTTTTCCCGCCATTTTAAACTAGAACAATTATGAAAAAATGCAGAAATTGAACTCATCCTTGAAGTTGAGTAGAGGAAAATGTAAGGAAGGGGAGAATTTTTTTCCCCGTTTACCCAGAGAAATGTCATTTCCTCCGTGACCTGATGGAATGTTTTATTTTCTTCTTTAGGCCGTCAATCAAGCTCAAGGGTGTGGCATGCTGATTTCGTTTTCTGTTTGATGTACGAGGGGGGTGGGGAAAATGCATTGCATGCATATCAGTGAACAGAAGATGAAAGAGAAAAATATATTTATCTATATGATATTGATTAATAAAAATAAAATCTTTTTCTTCTGAATAAATTCTCATTCTTTGGAAGTGCGGTATCATTTGCAAGTTTTTATTGATGTGGAATCACATCTGCTATAATTAAATATCGTGTTTTTATCAACAAAAAAATAAAATAAACAAAGAATTGTTTATTAATTTAAACATAGGATTATTTTATGAAGCAGATTGCAGTTTTGCTGATTCCACTATGTTTGATTTTTTTTTTCTTTTCATGATAAATTTCGCACTCAATAAATTACTTCTTTTCATTCATAAATTTTATCTTTAGGTTTTTTTTAAAAAATTCCGTTGATCTTGTCTTGTTCCGGGTTTTAATATTTATGCTAGTGCCTTTTTTAACTATCGGTTCGATAATTTTCAAGTGTTTTTATTTAAATTAATGTTTTCCTTTTATTTTATCGTCCCCCCCCCCGTATAATTAGGTATGAAATATATTGCGTTATTTAACCATTGGTTTTGTTTATATTAGTTAATTTAGGAATTGTTATTATTTTTGTAAAAAANTACAAAGTTTTCCTCTAAATCGGATGAGTAAATTTTCACCAAATTTTGCGCTTTTAGTTTAATCTCAGATTCTGACAAATTTTTGTGTAATTTCCTTGTAATTCGGGTTCGATAAAACATCGATTAATGACACTTTCTGGTCGATCCAGTAAACCGGGAAATTCAGACATCCGGGATAGCGATGGTCCCGAGCATCCCGGATAATTGGTTCTCTACTGTACAATTTTACGAAAAAAGATGACAAACTTTTTTTTTTTGGAGAATCTTTATATGTACAGGGTGCATAAAGTTTTTAAAAAGGGCTTAAAGATGCTTATTTTCGATTTTCAATTTTTAAAAGCCCTTAAAGGCGCCTTTTTCATTGGGTGTTTTTAAAGTGCTTAATTTACCCTTTTTCAAAATGAGATTTTACCATGTTGATTTTTTCTACGAATTATGCAAAAAGACACAGTTCACATTGTTCTCTTCAACGTTTCGTAATTAATTCAACCAAAATATATTTCGGCGTATTGTCAGTCCGTAGCGTATGAAAACGCCATTCGTTTTACACCATTCAAAATTTCATGATTTTTTACAATTGTCAAAAACAATACCAAAAAGTTTTTATTTATTTATTTTTTTTTGACATGGCGGTTAAAACAAAATAAAACTGTCAATTGTCAAAACTTTCATACCCTGCCTAATTATTATTTTTTTTTTACAGTGCTTAAAAATATTTTTTGAGGTCTTGAAAAGTGCTTAACAGGTGCTTTTTTTGTTGAATAATTTGGTTATGCACCCTGATCTAAGATTGTACCAGAAGATTTTTGATAATTACAAATCTTATATGGATATTCGTGAAAAATAAACATTTCCTAATAGTTAAATGAATTTCATTTTTTTTTAAAAATATGAATTACTTAATTCCATTCTAAAATTTCAGAAAAATGCTTAATTAGTTAAATATCAAATTATGTATAAATACCTGTATAATGAACCAATTATTAACAGTATTGTGATTTGAACATAAATTAATCTTCGGCATATGTCACAGTTTTGACCATTCTCTGCATTGGCACTTTTATTTTCACTACCACCACCCTTTTCAACATATCAAATATATCTTATTAATCGGTTCAGTTTCACCCAGTAAGTGCTTCTTTTAACTCGTTACTTTCTACAATAATGTTGTTTTAATTTTGTTACTTTGAATACATAATATTTGTGTTTGGTACATTATATCTAAATTCAGCTTTCAAAATTTACATTCTACCAACTTATGAATATTTTTACAAGCATTTTTTTTATATCAATTTAAAACCGAAAAAATTGTGATGCTGAACAATTTTCCTTGTCTATAGCACTAAGTATTTAAGTAATGAGTTTAAATACAATTAGAATTTGATGTCTTTAATATCATTTGTATAGATACTCATATTAAATTGTCTATACATAAAGTATTATAACTTGTGATTTAAATCAAAGTAATTATTTGGTTATGAAGATCTGAATAGTTTCAAATATTTTAGGTATTATGCTGGTTTTGCTGATAAGGTTTATGGAAAAACACTGACTGTAGATGGAAACTATTTTTCTTATACAAGGCATGAACCTGTTGGTGTTTGCGGTCAAGTCATACCTGTAAGTTTTACGCGCTCAATTTGCGCCGATATTATCGTAAATCAATGTAATGTTTAATGTAATGTAATGTAAATATGCAATGTAATGTAAATATCCTGATATATTTCGCGCAATATGGAAAATTCGAATCTTGCATTTAAGCATTTGCTTTTTAAAGCAATCATTCTATGGAATTTGGAATATAGATTCACCTTCAATAAGGCATAATTTGTGTGTTCCCCTCCCCCCAACAGAATGCTAGAATATCACACGTAATATTAGAATAAAAAATTATTACATTCAATTTTTAAAAAATGTATGAAAACACAGCACTTTTGTTATTTTAAATTAGTAACATATATGTTTGTTATTATTACCTTTCAGAAAGATATTAGACCTCAGATCATGTCTTTTCTTTTAGTGGAATTTCCCTCTTCTAATGCAAGCATGGAAGTTAGCCCCTGCACTTGCTACTGGAAACACTGTTGTCCTAAAACCTGCTGAACAAACTCCCCTTACGGCACTCTACGTTGGCCAGTTGATTAAGGAAGCTGGATTCCCACCTGGTGTTGTGAATATCGTACCTGGTTATGGTCCGTCTGCTGGAGGTGCTATAGCTTCTCATAAAGGCATTGACAAGATTGCTTTTACGGGTTCTACCGAGGTATCTCTTTTTTTCGATGGACAGTTTACCGTATAAAGCTGAGCACAAGTGGTTAAAACGTGTGACACGTTTTTTAGTTTAAAGCTTTATATATAATTTTAAGTCCAAGCTTAAAAAAGCAGCCATCTTGTACTGTTTACAATATTACTTGTACTATTAATCATTTAATTTTAAATCTATTTATCGTTAGCTGAAAACATAAAATAACATTAAAAGCAATCCACATACTTTATTTATGTCATGAATTGCAAGTACTAAAAAATCTATGACTAATAAAACTAATTCAAATGCAACCTCAATGATTAAACTTTGAAACCTGTTCTTTTTGTCAATGTAAGTGGAACAATTCTGGTTTTAGAATCTTGCTATTGATTACGCTCTCTTAACCATCCATTATTTAACTTGTTGCACTCTACTTTTTTCTTAAAATTGACAAATCAGGAGATGGTTTCCTATCAGGTTTAGTTTGACACTCGTAAGTAATGAAGTAAAAATCATAAAAATATCTTCAAAAAAAAATTTAAAAAAAAAAAAAAATACTGTCTACATTATAAATCTCAAATTAATATTGATGAAAGAAAAGGCAATTAAAATTTCACGAATCTCTCTTGTGGATGGTCGAGATGTTGAAACAAAATGTCAAAGTTTGTGTTACGGAAAGTATTGTACCTATTAATTTTCCAAACAATTTAATTTAATTTTTAATAGTATGTATTTGTGTGACCATGATTAAGGCGTACTGCTGACTTAGTTCACTTTTTAATATCATAGGTTGGTCAAATAGTTATGGAGGCAGCAGCTAAATCAAACCTTAAAAGAGTTACTCTGGAACTTGGAGGAAAAAGTCCTAATATAGTATTCAAAGATGCTGATAGTAAGTCTAAGAAATGGTCTGAATGATCACCTATGTTTTATTATATGCATTCTACATTTAATCATACGTTACATATAGAATCAAGTGACAGGTTTCAGGGGACACATAATTTTTCACAACAGGAAAAAAATGGAATCAGAACTTCAGATGTGTTTGAATTTAAAGGCCACAATTCTTCAAACGTAACTCTTTTCTTGTTTTCTATATCAATAAATGGATTGCCTATAAATATGCATATTAATTAAATGAATAAAGATGTAGAAAATTTATTGTCCAATCAATATCACAGATAATTTGTAACATTTAAAAAAAAAATCTAGGAGATTTCCTTTTATTCTTGGTTTTAATGTTTAAAATTGTCAAAATGCAAAATTTATTTACTTTCACCTAAAATTCCGCAATTTATAAAGGTTTAGAAAGTTATAAACCTAACCTTTTCGTAAACGCATCTTTTAAAAATCAAAGCATAAAATATTTATTCTTCATGTATAACTTTAAATGCTAATTTTGTAGAAACTAGAACATCAAACTTACTCATTGCTTTATTTTGTTTAAAATTAAACTTTGTGCAAGTATTTGTTCTGCAAAACCATTATGAAGAACTAGTAAATGAAAACACATCTCTGCTAGACTTCAGAACAGCTTCTACAGGACCACCTAATATCAGACAAGACTTTCTGAGGTCACTCCCGTTAAAAAATCACTTCCCACATTTTGTTTACATTAGGGAAGATGCTTGTTTATACTCTCAAGTATAATATACCAAGTCAGAAATATGTAATTTATAAAAGGTTGAAAAATTATTGTCAAAACAGATTTATGAGAACTGTTTTTTAAGTAAACCAAACAAAAGAAGATTTTCATGAATCAAATTTATTTTTTGATTCTACATATGTTTCTATTTTTTTTTTCAAAATAGTAACAGTAACTTGCCACCTACTCCAATAAACAAGAGGTTAAGACCATTTTCAACTGTTCGTCATCGTTTTACTGAAATGATATTCGTTGTGCCAAAATGATATTTGAAACAAGGAAAAGATGAAAATCGCTTAGCTCAAGGTCTGGATTGTATCGAGGAGTGGTTCAAAACTTCCCAGCCAAAAGAGTGCAATAAAGCTCTAGACTGTACTATGGAGAGAGTCATTGTCATGGGTTTCCTGACAGCATGCCAGTAGGAAGCATCGTAAACTTCACAATTCTGCCGGCGAATGTGTCAGGGCTGATTGTGCTCCGGAAAAAATCCGGATTTCCGGACTATTCGCTAACAGTGATCCGGAAGTTTCCGGAGATCGAAGGTCCAGACATTTCAAAAAATCATTGATCACAGAAGTTTCCGGAGATCAAATTTTCAAAAATGGAACTTAAAAACACAGTTTATTTAATTTGTTTGTAAGGGAGAGCCAGAGATATACTTTATAAGCTTATATTCATGATTAATATTCATTTTTTATCAGTAAATAGTTGTTATAATCATAAACTCAAGAAGGAAAGAAATATTTGTAAATTTTAATTACTTCTCCAGGTCATCATAGGTACGTGTAAAAAATTAAAAAATATTTTAAGTAAACTAAGAAATATTGAGAAAAAGGAACAAAAGACTTGCTTAAATTTTTTTCTAATTTTTCAATTTAAACTTTTTTTTTAACTCAAGAAATTTTCCGGAATTTTGACTTGGGCTCGCAATCACCCCTGATGTCTGCAGCAGACAGGTCTTTGCCAACTAAAATCGCATTTCTGACCGTACCTCATATACGGCGGTTGATTTGTTAAACTTGAGCATTTTGAAACTCAGGTTACCTACAAAACTGTAACTGAGCACAGTTGTTCCCAAGCAGTACCAGGGCGCAACGCAGGCAGTTGTGATGTCACCTATTAAGTGTATGCAACAAAATGGCGCTTACTTAAAAAACAGCCCTAGTATATTATTTCCAATTGGAACTCGCTTTTGGTAAAATGAAATACTATACCTTGAAATATGAAAGTCCCTAAGCACTCCCCAGTCTCTAAAATCTAGTGGGATCACTGAACATAAGCGTTTTTTATACTTTAATTATGATTTTTTCTTGCTAATGAACTTATGTACTATAATTGTATTTATTATACATTATCAAATATAATGTACTCTATCATGCTTGATCATAATAAATTTTTCAGTTGACCATGCAATTAGTACATCACATTTTGGTCTGTTCTTCAATCAAGGCCAGTGTTGTTGTGCTGGCTCTAGAATCTTTGTAGAAGAAGAAATTTACGATCGTTTTGTTGAAAGAACTGTCGAAATCACAAAGAAGAGAAAAATTGGTAATCCCTTTGATTCCAAGACGGAACAAGGACCACAGGTAATTTAATAATTCATTTTTCTTTGGCTTCTTGTTAGCATCCTATGTCACTCTTAAATGTCATATTTTTAAATACGTAAAAATTATATTGAAATTTAATTATTGACATTTTTAAAATCATTTTGAGATTTTAAAAAAAAATAAATGTTTATCCAATTTCTGCCATTCAAAATTATACTTATTTTGTATATTTATTATTAAATGTTTTATTATACTTATCGTATAAGATTAATCTGAAAAAATGTACCTTTTTTTATTTTTACTGCTTTCAAATGTTCTTTCTACAACTTTAATCCCTCCCTACTATTGTCTATTGTGAAAACTGGGTTTTTTCATGAGTGCAAACCTCTTCAGTCTTGAGGACTGAAATCAGTCTTGAAAAAAAAAATCAATGGCAGAATTCCATACTTCAATTTTAAAAAAAAAATTAGCTTTTTTATGAAAACATTGTTAATTCTCATAATTAATACAAATGATCAAGTAATGATGTCAAAGCACAATGAAAGAGTGGGACTGACTAACTTCATCTGATTACGAATACAAAATTTGTAATGTTAAAACCTAATCTGCATGAGTTTTTCCTGACATTTTGAAATGCTGAATTATCATTATTTTCCTTAAAAAACGAAATTTATAGCTTTAGGGAAAAACTTTATTATGATGAAGTAAGGATATAAATGGCTCCAAAAATAGTGGGTCTTGTAAAAATGTACATCAGGTTAGCTGTTAGTTTTGTTTTGTTTGCTGGAAAAAAGAAACTAATAAAATGAAAAATAAATTTGCTCTTTTAGAAAAAAATAATCCAGGTCATTACTATATTATGTGGAATGGAATATATTATATTTTTTAGGGTTTGCAACGTGAGCTGTAAATGTAAGAAAAATTAAAGCAGATTAATTTTAATTTACTTTTGGAACTTATGAGTGTGGCTCATTTTTTCATGTTATTTTTATCTGATTATCGGCTCTATTTCTTTTCATCATAAGGGAAGAAAAACTTATTTTTATTCATAAATGACTATATTTTATCAGTATTATAAAATCTATTTATTAAATATATTTTATCATACTAATTTTTTATGTCATTTAACCTACAGGAAAACGTATGAAATTGACATTAATTATCATTATCATCTATTAATTATTTATTGAATAATGTGTGTCTTGGAGTTTGTTTACCTTAAAGACCTGTTAAAAGAGAGTTAATTGAAAAATTTTAACATTATAAAGTTTGCTGATTTATTGCTTCTCAAAATGTAAACTTTTTTTAAAATTTTTTTATTAATTATGAAGTGACAACAGATGGTCCGAATGTGTAGGGGTCAGGGAACTGGTATTGCATTAGAAAGGTTCTGGGTTCGAATCCCGTGCAAGGCATGAATCTTCTTTCATTCTGTGTACTATCTGTCCATACTGTGGGAGCAACGTTGGCCCACCTATTATGGTGCTCCTGAAAGAGTGGTCAATAAATCTGCCCTATAAATGCCTGAATTGATGGTATGTTAACACAGGTAGGGAGATAAAGTAATAACTCAATATTAATTTGAAACATCTTAAAATTTTTAAGTATCTTGGCATTTCTTTCTTCTAACTTCCATACAATTCTTTCACTATTTCAAATTGCACTAAATTTTAACGTGTTGCAATTAAAACCAATTTTTCCTGAAAGATATTGCAGATGCAATTAGATTTTAATTTCAGGTATTCTTAACCTAATATTCTGCATTATTCGCTTAAGAATTCTATAATATTCACATGAATGGATCTTTGATATTCTTATGAAATTGAAATTAATTCTATTAGACTTCTTTAAAAACATAGGGTCCAATATCACTTAAAGAAATGTTATGCTCTTTGATTAAATTATACTTTTTTTAAAAAAATAAATAAATAAAAATTTAACTTTTAAACAAATTTAAGCTTTGTTCACTCTTTTTTTTCGCATTGCAGATAGCTTTTAAATTATAACTGTCTGAATTGATTGCTGAAAATGTTTGGCCTAATATTATGTGTACTTACTGGAATCATTGAGAGATCACAGTTTTACCAATTATAGTCATTACTTTTCCCATATCAATAAAAAAACATGTAGAAAGGTGATTCACCAAGTTCATTCCCATGCAAATACTTACAATTTTTACATGACTCTATTAAAAAATTGTTAAATAAAAGTTCAAATATAAATTCATGGCTCAGTAGGAATTTTCAATGAAATAACTATATTATTAAAAGTGCATCATATCAAATTTTTAAATTCTNCCAACTAAAAAAATATATATATATTTGGAAATAATCTTAAAAATAAGAAAAAACGAAGAAGTAATACACCAATGATTATTTCTGAAATGATGGTAAGGTAAACATCTTTCAAAAAAGAAAGAAAAATCCTAAAATCTTATGAGGAAAAAAAGAAAAAAAATTTTAAATTGCGGGAAAATTTATCGAATTTCGTTCCGGTTTTTTGGTTTTCTGATTTCCGGATAACGGGTTCTGTACTGTACTTACAATTTTTACATGACACTATTAAAAAATTGTTAAATAAAAGTTCAAATATAAATTCATGGCTCAGTAGGAATTTTCAATGAAATAACTATATTATTAAAAGTGCATCATATCAAATTTTTAAATTCTTTAATAAAATTTTGTTAAAAACTTTAATATAGAGGGGTTTGAAAATGACTTGCTTGTTTTTTGACTTGCCAAGTCGGCGGTGATTTAAAAATCTTTGATCTTTGTATATCAGTGGTCTAATCTGGTGGCGCTTCTCCTGGCATGAACTGAATCTTTTGATCTGCATTATTTTGCCTCTTACAGTTTTGCAAGTTCAAACCATTTGTTACTTTCAATAGGATAACATTAGATGTCATGTTGGAAGTTAAAGTGGAAGTCTTTTTTCTTTTTTTAGTTATTGGAAGTTCAAGTGGTGAAATGACCCTATTTTCTTCCACTTTCATGCTTTCCACTAAAGACTTGTAGAAAGCATGGAAGCTGGAATTGTCTATAGAGCCTCTTGTCTTGGCTCTACCTTTTTGTCTCTCTGTACTTATTCATCTGTAGTGTGAATAGGTTTTTCTAAGCCATATTTTATAACATTTTATTTATTAAAAAAATAACTTTAGATAGATGGAATTCAAATGGAAAAGATATTGAATTTAATTAAAAGTGGTAATGAAGAGGGTGCTAAGATGTTATGCGGAGGAGGAAGAGTGGGTGATAAAGGCTTCTTTGTCAGTCCTACAGTATTTGCTGATGTTCAAGATAATATGAGGATTGCAAATGAAGAGGTAAGTCATTTGAATTACTCAATACCTCAGAAACATAACATCCAACCATCTGCCCTATTCTTATTAACTTGAATGCCATCTTTTTGACTTTGATTATTAATTTATTTCAAAATATAAGAGGGAAGATTATACAAACTGTGAAGTTATTTTTATGAATCTCAGAAGAAATTTTTAAAACTTATGATTATTTTGTGTGTAATTGTGCTTAACATGCAACGGAAATACTTAAGTAAGATTAGAAAATGAAGCAACAGCTTGTTTTAATACAAAATATTAAAAGACTTAAAGAGAAACAAAAAAATTTATGTAAATATAACCAATCATGGTTTATCTCTTAACCTTATTATATACATTTTGCATGTATACAACTTTGAATTACGGGTGCTTGTGGCATGGGTCACGCAAGCTTCTGTGGCAATTTCAGCCACAGTTATATTTATTAATCTTTACAAAAGGGATGTTAGACTGCATATCCCTTTTGATGGAATATTTAGACAAATTGGGACTAAACTTGTTTGGAGAAAGACCATTTCCTTGAATCAGTGACACTAAATTGTGAACAATGAGAACTAATAAAAATAATGGAATATTTAACTTTTATATATCAATTTTAATATGTATGAGTATCATATAAATAAAATTATATAAGATCATTTTGAAAATGACTACTTTGGAAATGAGCATCCAACCTGGACATATAAAAGGGAGGAATAATTTCTTCATATTCCTTGGAAATTAAAATTCCAAGCATTATGCTTATGATTCTAAAGTAAAACACATTCATTTATGCATTTACTTTAAAAAACATTTATTTGTATCATAACAATTAATATTGGTTTTCATAAATGTTTTCTACTTTATGTAATGATGAATAATTTAAAAGTTTTTTTAATTTTAAATCAAATCCTTGTTTATTGCAATTATCTTTTTTTCTGTTTTTCCCCACTTATTTTTATAATTTACTGACTATAAAATATTATAATAATATATATGGATGGTAAATCGACCTTTTAAGTAACTTTTTTTCTTTCCATTTTACTTTTTTCGACAATTTTTTTCCTTTTTTTTATCATATTTACATCAAGAGTCTATTAATTTATCATTAATTTTGTCTTTAGATTTTTGGGCCTGTGATGCAAATTCTGAAGTTTAAAACAGCTGAAGAATTGTTAGGAAGAGCTAATAAAACAATGTACGGATTAGCAGCAAGTGTATTCACTAAAGATATTGACAAGGCTATGTACTTCGCTAGTGGTCTTCGAGCTGGTACTGTTTGGTAAGTGTAATTCTAAATTTATATTTACACCACAGAATTCTAAATACCAGAGTATCGACCCTATGCAAATTAAGAATTATAAATATGGAAAGTTTAAAAAATTATATTCATGATAAGAAAAATGGCTGCCACGGTTCTTCTCCGAAATTAAAGAGTAAAAGAACTGAAAAAATTTTTATCAACTCTTTTCATGTTTATTTTAAATATCAATTTTCTATGATGGTTATTGTTTTACGGTCAAAAGATTGAGGAGAAATTACTTTACACCAATGATAATCAAATAAAGGTATTAAACCATTCTCTCCAATCCTGATGTGTATGCATTTAATAGGTTCAAAAGGAAGTGTTCTTCATTTTCTATACAAAGGTTGCAACAATTTTATTATCTGACCCGTGGGGGCTCATTAGATAGACTAAATAGAGCATTCACCTTCTCATGAGGGGAACCAGATTCGAATCCCAGTGATGGCTGGTCAATATGAATTCTGCACGTGGTTCGCACAGACCACAGTGGTAGACGAATCATAAGTTAAGAGTCCCCTTGCCGGCTGGCCAACCATGAGAGGTTTTCCTCTCCATGCAATGCAAATACGGGTTAGTCCCATCAAAAAGTCCTCCACGAAAGCTAATTTCTCCCAATACTTTATCCAGGAGTTTCCTTGTCTTCTGGATTGGGTTCAAAATTACAAGGCTGCAGAGTTGAAAGTTAGTAATCATCAACCCAGAGAATTGGGCCGGCTGTTCAGTAAAATAAAATTATAACTGCACCAATGGTAAATTAGGATCTAAACTAGGTTGCGAATGGGATAAATTATATTTTTTTTCAAAACATTGTTATGCAAGAATCGATATATACTTAAATACAAGTATTGTTAAGAACTTATATACACAAATATTGTGATGATATTTTCTTAACTTTCCTTCTCATAACTATTACTAATAGCATAAAATAACCTGATTTTAGCTTTAGGCATTACAATAGTAAGAGTTGTCACAGTTAAAAAATGTATTTTAGAGAATTTATCTTTTCATGTAATATTAATTTTTTTTAGGATTGATCTTTTCATTTTGTTTTAAATAAGTAATAGTGTCTGAGTATGCTCAATAGTTCTTTGTTAACTTTTATTTTTATGGCATTTTTTTTCTTCAAATAAATGAAAATTTACTTTTATGCTCCATCCATTCTTCTTGCTCATAGTTTAACTTTCAAACAGCTAGAAGGAATATTTATTTTCTTCTTAATAATTTTTTTTTTAATTGTTCTTGCAGAGCTTTTAAAGATAAATATTTAATTTTCTCTTTTTTTCAAAGATTTTTTTAAACAATAATTAGTCTCATTTATTTTTAAGAAGGTATGTTTATTTTTTAAACGTAGAATGTTGATTTATCTCAAGCATAGAAATTCAGAGAGTTTAAATATCTCACAAAAACAATGCAAATGCATAAACATATAAGTTAAAATCTAAAAATGAACTTTAATATATTTCCTTTTCTGATTTATAAAATTCAAACAAAAATAGTTTAAACTAATTATTTTAAAATTTCTGCGACTAATCAAGTTCTGAATTTTAAATCTTATTCCCTTTTCTAGGAATGTCGNAATGTTTGTTTATTTTGATTGTTAAAAAGTGTCCGGGAAATCGACCCTTCCGGAAAAGGGACGTCCGGATATGGGACGTTACACTGTATTTTTAAATCAGATGTAATTATAATAATTTAGTTTTGACTAGGTGTGTTCGCATCTATGTTATGCCATAAATTATGTGAGAGTTTAAATGTAGCAACCACTTGTACTTTGATGATAAAGATAAAATTTGTTGCAAATTGTTTGTTTCTTACTACTGAATTTTGTTATCTTATGCACATCATCATGTTTTGCTTATGTATTACCCTTTTGATGTCTTCTTCACTCTGTGTGTGGCTTTTATCATAAAAAAATAATAGTTACATCTTAATGAGTTTTGCTTTGATTACTATTATACCACCCTCCAGTCTAAGCCTTGCTCTCTCCTCGCAGTTAGTGCGTTCTACTCAATTTTCATGCTTTTGGATAAAGTGAGCTAAAAACAAGTGAAATAGGTGGATCGCAAGTGTTTTATATTTTTATAATTAAAACTTGGTACAACCTCAGAACCCTTAACATTACAGGGCAATTAATGAGTGTCTAATTTTTGAGGGGACTATTAAAATGCACAGTTACAATATAAAAGTTCTCAAAATTTTACTCCTGAAAAAAAGTCTTTCATCTGTAAATGTTTAGTTTTTTTTCTTTTCTTTTTTTTTTTTTTTTAATTATCGAAATTTAAATTGTAAGTTCACGAATTTTTATGTTTGAAATATTAAGAGGACTTTTTGAATTTTCAAATTATTGAGGAGTGCAAATACCTGCCACTGCACTAATGACGCTAAAAAAGTTCATCTGCTCTAGTGCCACCTAAGGATCTTTAATACTTGTGAAAAAATGTCTGTTCATAATCAATATATTTCCTTAATGTTTCTATCAGCTTTAATCTATTATAATTGTTGCACATACTCATAGATTAACATAAAAGAAGAACTTTTCATTCGCCTGAACAATCTAAGCTGTGTCTGTAGCATCATGCACTGTACTAATTTATATTCCTCTTCGTTACTTTAATATTTCCAATGTTAATTAATACTAAAATAATGTAAACTCTAATGATTAGTCTCCTGAACATTAACCAACCATCACAAGTGTCTCGAATATCAAATTTTTGGAGTGAATAAGCACATTATGTTGACTTACTTAATTATGAACTTTTTAAATAATCTGTCGGGGTGGGGGGAAGAATTTATTCAGAAAAAGAGCGCTTTTGTATCTGATTTTAAGAACTAAAATATTGTCTTCACTAATTAATTAGCATGCTTATGGATATTCTCACACCGTTAAGATTGAGCCTCAAAGCCCAAAAATCCTGTCATTCGATCCAAAGTTATTCTGGATGGTTGCTTTTTTTTTTACACTGTACATAAAGTATACTAATTAGTCAAACTTGAGCCGTGGTGGCTCAGGGAATAGTGTTCGCCTTCCAATGAGGTAAACCGCGTTCGAATCGCAGCGATGGCTGGTGAATACGAATTCTGTATCTGGCTTTCACCAACCTTAAAATATCGCCAGTGGTAGACAGATCATGGGTTAGAGTCCCCTTGCCATCAGGCTAACCATGGGAGGTTTTGTGGTTTTCCTCCCTATGTAACGCAAATGCAGGTTAGTTCCATCAAAAAGTTCTCCACAAAGACAAATTTCTCCCAATACTTAATTCAGGAGTTTCCTTGTCTTCTGGATTGAGTTAAAAATGACAAGGCAAGAATTGAACATTAGTAGCCGTAAACCTGAAAAAATGGTCCGTCTGTTCAACGACGGTTATAAAAGTAGTCAAAATTAGTGTTTTGATTATCAATTGACTGGTACTGATTATAATATTCAATCCACATTATCACACAGTTTTTGGAACTTATGTTTAACTTTTAACACTAAGGTTCGCCTCAACTGATATCTTTTGATGGTTGTCAAACTGATATCTTTTTTTGCTGTAAAAGAAAATAAAAATAATATAACCATTTTTGCATATAATTAATGTGCATCTACTGTTTAGGATTAACTGTTATGACGTGTTTTCGGCTCAAGCACCCTTCGGAGGTTTTAAGATGTCTGGAATCGGAAGAGAACTTGGAGAGTATGGTCTCCAAGCTTATAGTGAAATCAAAACGGTAAGTTACAATGGCAAACTTTTTTAAATAATGTAAATCTAGATTCCCTGTGCATTTTCTATGTTGTTAATGGGGAAAAACACAAAGCTTTTTGAATGAATAAGTTTCTCGTGAACCCTGAATTTCACAAAATATTTTTTCTTAAAAAAACTTCTATAAAAATGAGACATGGAGCTTGGCAATTTTATGCAACACAGAAATGACATACATTGATCTGTTGTTTGTGTAATAGTGCAAATTCTAATTTTTTAACAATTACTTAATGTAGAAAAAAAGTTTTTAAGTAAACACTTGAATTCTAACAAAAATGCAATAAAATATTGTTGTGTTTAAATTTTCTTTTCCTTTTGCTGTTAAACTTTTGCTAAAATTAAATATGGTTAAGTAATTTTTTTATTACTAAATGATAGAATTCAGGCTTATGTGAACTATTGTAAAACAATGATTGTTCACAGAATGTCATCAATATGTTAGTGTCATTAATGGTCAAACACAGTAAACATAAACTTTACTTTTTGAAGATTTAAAAATGGCTTCTTGGAATCATTTACTGTATGTGCAATAAGGGGGAGAAGACGACTGAAGACATAGTTTATTTTCCCTTTTATTTTCTATCATTTGAAAACATTCCAATTATAACAGTGGATTACTTGTTTGAAGAAATAGTTTCTATTTATTTTAAGACTATAGCAGGTAATAGTTGCAGATTAATACATTGACTGCCGCGTTAACCATATTTGGGTTACAGCTAAGTTTCTGATCAGGTCTGTATTGGGGTGAATCTTATTTGACTACTTGAGAAGGATATCCATATGCAGGGTTGCCACAGGTGACTAAAATGCGACTATTTGCAACTATTTTTGACCTGAGGCAACTATTGCTACTTTTTTTGCCTAAAAAGGCTATAAAAGCAACTATTTTCAGGAAAAGGAGACTATTGTGAGATTTTTTTGTGCTCTGCAATGTTTTTTCTAGCATAAATTGGGTTGACAACCTGCGGCCCGATGTAGCTTCTGAACATAATGAATTTTTTTTTCTTCTAAAAATTAAAAAAATATTAAATTGCAAATTTGAGTAATCACTTTTTAATGCACTCAATTCGCACAGATTCCATTGTGAATCTATTTTGTTTCTCAATCGCCTTTTCAACAGTTATTGCTATGAAACTGCATGATTTTAAAGAACCCAATTTTTAATATGACACTATAATGTATGAATTTCGAATTTTAGTAATCACTTTTTCAATATATATATATACAGTAGAGTCCCGATAATCCGAGCCCCGGTTATCCGAGTTTCCGCTTTAACCGAGCTATCAAATATTTTAAGTTTTTTTTTTGTTCTAGTTTATTTTTTATTTTTAAAAATACCGCCGAAAAATAAATCTGAATTTTATCTTCTAAACACTCGGGAAAACAAAATCTAACAACTTGATCCCATGAAATGATCGTTAATATCGTCAATAATGAAAATGAACCTAGCTAAGATGATGGAGACAGTGACGATGAAAATCAACATATAAAAATCTCTCACACAGATGAACTTAAAGCTGTCGAAAATGCTACTGAATACATAGAACAACAAAAAGAGGCGACACCAGCCTTCCTGTTATCCCTAAAAAATGGCGAAACATTGCTGCAGAAAAGCACCAAAGTTATGTAAAACAAAAAACGATTAAGGACTTTTTTTAAGTAAAAACTCTTTAATTCTC